TAACCACACCCACAAGTGCGCGCCCAGTAGGGCAGCTGACATAAGCCAGCCACAGGTGTTTACTAGCAGCGGAGACAGACTCTCTGTGGCCACAGCATCTGACTCCATAACTCCTGAAGCTTCAATGAATCCCCCAGAATTTATTTCTATTTGTTCTAAATCTCTCAGCTGTCTGTTCATTCAAGCAAATGTCCCCTGGGTCTCATATTGTGGGGCAAGATCCAAAGCAGGGACTGAGCTCTTTCCTCTAAATCCATCAGACTCTGAAACATCTCAGTAAAGTCCCCTCCTTCTCTTCTTTTTTTCTAGACTAAACAACTTTCGTTCTGCCACGAAATCCCCCATCGGCATTGCCCTTCTCTAGGCCTTCCCCAGCTCAGGAGCAGCAACCAAAACTGAGTGCAAGGCTCCACATGAAGGTGGTCAGTGCTCTCTCTAACGCCACTGAAACACGTTCTCTGTAACCCACCACCAACACGGGTTGGCTTTTCTGAGTGCTGCTTCACTCTGGACAGATGGTTTCATAGAGCTCTCTCCCCAGCGACTCTGAGGGCTTTCCCCACCCTGACCAATCCCATTTCTGGCCTTCAGGGAATGGAGAATCCATAGGGAATTTCAGAAACAAGAAGGATGGGAACTCACCCATTGGACTTCCTGGAGGGCCGAATTTAAGGATGGGTTGACTGCTGAACCTGAAAATCGGAATATCAGGGCAGATGAAAGGTTTCTTGGTGTTCGCATTAGTGAGAATTTTCAAAGCCGCATCCTGGGAAAAAGGAAAGAAGGGAAAACAATATAACCAGTAAAAAACTGTACAAGAGGCAGCAAGGGGCTGTTTTTCGCTGCCCATTTAAAGGGAAAGTAACTATGAAGGAATAAAGCTGAAATACTAGCAGACCCAAGACTGTGGTACTATATCTGTGAGTTTGCTTGGATGAGAGGAGGCAAGTCTCCTAAACTCCAGATGCTCACATAATAGCAACTCATCACACAAACAACCCTCCCAGCCCCACGGCTCAACCTGGACAATGCAACAAACAACCAGTCTAGCAATTCAATTCGACAAAATACCTCACTCACTGCCATGTCACTCTGTCCTCCCCAAACTCACCCCCAGGTGCCGGAGAAACAGATGGGCCTTGCAGCATCTATTGACCTCCAAGGTCAACATGTTCGGGTGACTCAGGTTTCTGGAGCATTAGTAGGAGCGTTGCCAGCTAATTGAGGGAAGTGATTATTCCCCTCTTTCGGCACTGGTGAGGCCACATCTGGAGTATTGAATCCAGTTTTGGTCCCCCCACTACAGAAAGGATGTGGACAAATTGGAGAAAGTCCAGCGGATGGCAATGAAAATGATCAAGGGGCACATGACTTACGAGGAGACGCTGAGGGAACTGGGCTTATTTAGTCTGCAGAAGAGAAGAATGAGGGGGGATTTGATAGCAGCCTTCAGCTACCTGAAGGGGGGTTCCAAAGCGGATGGAGCTCGGCTGTTCTCAGTGGTGGCAGGTGACAGAACAAGGAGCAATGGTCTCAAGTTGCAGTGGGGGAGGTCTAGGTTGGATATTAGGAAACACTATTTCACTAGGAGGATGGTGAAGCACTGGAATGGGTTACCTAGGGAGGTGGTGGAATCTCCATCCTTAGAGGTTTTTAAGCCCAGCTTGACGAAGCCCTGGCTGGGATGATTTAGTTGGGGTTGGTCCTGCTTTGAGCAGGAGGTTGGACTAGATGACGGTCTCCTGCAGAGAACACCCCACAGCCAGTTTCCCCCTCCTTTTTTAACAACTCCAGCAGCTCTGCTGATCACCACTGTGGCACTCTCCCTGTGTCCCTGCAGCCCAGAGAGGGAGGAAGCAGGAGAGTGTCTGGCTGATGGCTGAGCTCCTCTCCCGCCATTTGGGGGTGCTGCACCTTCCCTGCTTCTGGAGTCACATGTGTTGCCTCTGCCTCCACTCCCTGACTCACTTGGGCGGATGGTCTGCAAAGCAGGCAGCAGCACTGGGGCTCCAGCAGCAGAGAAGGCACAGCAGCCCCATGTGATGAGGGAAGAGCTCAGTCAGCAGCCAGCCACCTGGCTGCTTCCTCCCTCCCCTTGGCTGCAGGGACACAGGGAGAGTGCCGCTGCCAGGCGCAGTGCTGCCTCCTCGCTACTGGGCATCCCCCCAGAGGCATAGGGTGACCAGGTGTCCAATTTTTGACTGGAACATCCGGTCGAAAAGGGATTTTGGCGGGTCTGGGACCGTTGAGTGTCCAGTTGGCGACGCTGCGCAGCAGGGCTGGCAGGCTCCCTGCTAGCCTCCATGCTGCGCGGCTCCTGGGAAGCAGCTGGTATGTCCACCTCTGGCTCCTACGCGTAGGGGCAGCCAGGGGGCTCCGCCTGCTGCCTCCACCCCAAATGCTGCCTCCGCCTGCGGACGGGGCAGCGTGCAGAGCCACCTGGCTGCGCCTCCACGTAGGAGCTGGAGGGGGGACATG